CAGGCTGCTTCGACTCCACCCGGTCTGCTTCAGGAGATCTGCTGCGTGGAGCTGGCTTCGGCCCCGCCAGCGGCCCATTCCTGGATGCACGGGCGCCTCCTGGCGCTCGGAGGCGCCAGGGAACCAGCCACTTGAGCTGATTCTCTACCTTGCCCTTTGCTATCCTACAGGCGGGGCCCTGAAGAAGGAACCCTTTTCGTTTGGGAGGGGCTCCGTGTTCCTTAATTGTTTCGCAGCTCGCCTTAGGTTTTCCTTAGGTTTTCGATAGGACATCGAAGTCTAACCTATGGAAGATAGGGGCCTCGCTCCTTATTTAGGGGTTCCTTAGGTAAACGCCCCGACTGTACCCTTCGTCCGCCCCGATTCCTTCGTGCCCCAGACGGCCCCTCCCGGTACGAGAGACCTCGGGGGATCGGGGGAAGCGCGCGGAGGCCGCCGGCCGACGCCCCAGTCTTGGCCTTCTTGGGGGCCGCCAGGTGACTGCGCGCGTGTCGATCAGCTTGGTGCAGTGGAGACCCACGCCAAGAAACACCCCGGTTGCCTCCAGGGTGCCCTGGGTTTCCTGGGTTTCGATGGTTTTGCGACGGAAGGCGTTGCGCTCCCACGCCGAAGACAAATGGACGTCCTGGGGTCTCAGGGTTGGGTTTCTTGTGGAAGGTCTCTTGTGGACTGGCCTCCAGTGTATCACTGCTTCAGAGGAGCGCGCAGCTTGTCGGGATGGTGCGCGTCAGGGTCGAGACGTCGGTGCTGGTCCTTGCCCCAGTGTGTGCTGGGCGAAGCCGGGTCACGACAACGGCGAGGGGGACCAGGCCATGCTGCGGCATGTCCTCGGAGGACTCCTTCGGTGCGGTGGGTCCAGGTTCGTCCGGCCTGCTCGGAGGGAGGAACCACCAGGGGCAGGCTCAGAGGAGGCAGAGGTACCCCCACACCGCTACTCTCCCCTTGTTCTCCTCTTTTTGGGGCTTCCCGGGAGGCCCCCGCCGCCACCGCTGGGTGTTCGCTTCGAAGCTCTGGTCAGGCTGCATGCCAGGAGAGGTCCGGGGAGTAGCGGTACCGTCGGGGCCCTGACCTAAGGAGCCCTACATAAGGAACGAGGCCCCTCTTTTCCACAAGTTAGACTTCGATTCCCTATCGGAAACATAAGGAACACCTGAGGCAAGCTGTGAAACACCTAGGGAACGCGGAGCCCCTCCCCAACCAAAAGGGTTCCTTCTTCAGGGCCCCGACTGTACTTGTACCTTTTGGTTTCTCCACCAGTGGCATTGGTGCGTTTGCGGCTGCCACAGCGCGCCTCGCAGCGCGCCCCCGCCGCCCAGCACGGGGCCGCCCCCAGGCGACGGCGGTCGCTCGTTCGTGCCCGAGCCCTGCTTCTTCGCTTGCCCCGGCTTTGGGTAGGGTCGGGCTGGGCACGCGTGGTTGGCCGGGGGGTGCGCGTTGGGGGGGGGCCCTGAGTTAACATGACCCGAGAGCCGTCTGTCTCGGAAGCCGCGCCGAGGGCCGTGTCGGGGGGGGGCCCCAACCTCCCGAACCCTGACTCATCGGATCCTCCTGGGGCACCTGCTGCATCTATCGACCGCCCCCCGTTCTTGCCGAGTGGTACAAGGCGCGCGCACTCGTTTACCTCAGAGCAATCACTGTGCAATAATCCCTGGCCAACACCAGGTCCAGGAGCTCCACACGCGCGCGCTCGTGTCGAACTCACATCAAACATATTTGTGCTGCAAGCAGCCCAACACACAAGAGGCAAACACACTTAGGTTCGTCAGCTGAAATCCTGCATATTCCTGCCCGCGCGTACCTCTTGACATCATCGGAAAACAGCAGGTACCTTTTGGAACATATTACAGATGTTCTGCCCGCGCACGCCTGCTGGAGTTTAGCAATTTCGTTCAGGACCTGCATTCTCATCTCACCATGCGGTACCTCTGCGTTGATCTAGCATGCGCCCTTTGCACGAATCTAGGTCGATTAGTGCAATGCGGGCAACTCGCGCGCCGCCACGCGCGTACAGCAATCCGTTTTCGTAGTTGTTAGTTTTCTAAGCATTTCAAGATCGGGCTTTTCAAACACATTTGGAATCCCAGCAGTTTTTCAAGAAAGGGTCTGTCCGGGTTCTCGAATCTTTACGCCCACGCGCATTTCTTCGCCATTACCCTCGTCCGCACAATCGCATCACCGCCGTCTTCGTCATGGCCAATCGTCGCCATTGCCGACATCACCTATCAATCACTGACACATGGACATCAAATCATCACCGTCATCGTCGTCACCAGCATCGGCCTTGCCGTCGTCAGCGCAAACATCGCCATCACCACCGCTAGTACCACCGTCGTTGCCACCGTTGCTGACGTCGTCATGGTGCCGCGCCCGCCCGAGCCACCGACCCGCACTGAAGCGCCCGCGCGCTAGCGCTGCCTTCTAGACGCGCTGGGAAGTTCCCGCCGGGAACCGCCGTCGCGGCCGCGTCAACTGTGCCGAGCCAGTTGGCCGCTCTGCGCGCGAGTTTGTCCGCGCTGGCGCGGCCGCACGGGTGCGCCGGCCAGCGCCAGGCAGTCACCACGATCACGGCCTTACGTACGGGCTTTGCGAAACGAGATGCGGGTGAGGCTCGGATGTTTGCGCGACGATAGGAGCTGACAAGTCATCAGTGGCGCGCGTCGATTCCTAGTTTTCAGAAAACAAATGGCTCCACCACAATTCATCCCGGAGTTATAGGTACCCACTGGGAAATTGCAAATGACATGCGATTTTGTCCCACCGCTCATGTTGCATATGGAGCGGTACCACCCCAGCAAGGCCAGCATCGACCACCCTTCATCCCTGCCAGATGCAAGCGTATGCGCGAATTTCTTAATCTCGAACACTTGCCCTGCGACGTACTCGACCTGTCTACACAAAGTGAGAAGGGGAGCTGGTCCATCATGGTTTGGTAGACGACAACGCAGGGCCTGTCATGTGTTGTGCAAGCTATATGAGAAGCGCGCGCGTCGCGCGACTCACAGGACAGCAACAAGGGACGAGGACGAGGACTGAGGCCCCAGGCTCGAACAGGAAATGGGGTGGGAACGCGGGGCAGGAAAAGGACGCAAAAGAGGCCGAACAGTTAACGCGGCAGCAGCAGTGAGGCGGCGAAGTAGGAAGAGGACGGCAAAAGAAGAAACAGGATGAGGGAAGAGGGTGGCCGCCATTTTCCAGTCTTGCGCTGAACAAGCAGCGCGAGTGGCGCCATGCCGATCTGGTGCTCCAAGGGATCAGCTGCTCACAGCTATTACAGGGAACGAGCGAGGCCGACCTCTCCCACCAGGTTCTCCGCTTCCTTCCTGCACCGTGCAGCGCGGGAACTAAACGCCCGCAGGCGCGCCGCCAGGTCTTCAAGACCCGCAGGACGTCACTCCGCTGGACCCCCAGCAGCCTTCGAAACTGGCGACGCCCTTCCCCCGGGGTGGCGAGGTTTAATTTTTATCTAGGTCCGCGTGGGAAATCGCTCTGCTAGACCCCCAGCAGCCTTCAAAAGTGTCGAGAGTTCCGTAGATCGCAGCCCCCCAGGGGTGGCGAGGTCTATTATAGGTCCGCGTGGGACGGCACTCCGCCGGAACCCCTTGGCAACCTTCGGCAGTGGCGACAGTTTCGCAATTCGCAGCCCCGCAGGGATGGCGCGGGCCAATATAGGTCGCGTGGGACGGCACCCCGCTGGAACCCCTAGCAACGTTTGTTGCTACAGTTTCGCAAATCGCCGCTTGCCGCCGCGTGTTCCCATCCGGCGCTTCCAGTTCTTGTTGCGCCGCTTCGGCAGTCTTCAGCATCCTGGTGGTCCGCTCCCGCGCCATTTGCTGCAGCCCGCGCGCTTTGGCGTAACCCCATGCGGGCTTCTCGTGCTGTCGCGTAGAGTTCGGTGCTGCATCCAGCTGACGCTGGCCCTCTGCAGCATAACCTGACGTTCCCAGCAATGTGGCGGACAGTCGGATGCTCCCGCTCCCGCAACCCCGTAGGTTTTTTCCGTGTTTTACTTTTGGCGTATTCGCCCACCCTGCTCATCACGCTTCCAACGCGTGCAGCCTTGGCTTTGGTCCTTAAGTGTGGCCGTGATGCCGTCTCGCGTCCATTCGCTGCCAAATCAGTTCAACCCTGGCCAGCCGCACTCGCGCGTCATCCTGAAACGTAGACAGCTTTGAGTATCCTCCTCCTCCCCCAGTGTCCTTTGCACGTGCCCAGCGGGCTGCATGTTTTGCGACCTGGCTCCACCCTGCCGTGTCGCTACGAGGACGGCCGTGACGCTTCAAAGTGTATGTGTGTGTGTATGTGTGTGTGTGTGTGTGTGTATGTGCGTTGCCCCATTCACTTCCGCCCGATGTCTCTGTCGGCCTTAAGAGGCGTCCGAGCTGGATCGGGAGGACGCCCGCCGTCCGCCAAGACGGCCCGGGGTGGCCCAAGACGTTCCAATATTGTTCCAACGGTGGAGCTCCCGAGCGATCAACAAAAAATACTCCAGAGAGCGAGAACCGCAGAAGCTACTGCAGCCTTTCAACATGTAACTTATCTCACGCTCTTCTCCTGCGTATGGCTTCGGGGGCGCTTCAGATGGCCCCTAGGCTTGAGATGGGCCAGTAAAGCCCGAAAAAGACCCACCAACGGCCCCTAGAGGGCCCACATGGTTTCCATACTGCCCTCACAGAAAAATCCCCAAGAGACTCCTACATTTTAAGGCAGCCCAACTCATATTCGATGTCTCCCCCCACGCCGTCCCTGAACAGCTCGAAGGTCCCGCATTATCTCCAGCAGGAAGAGGCCGTCGATAAGAGCGAGAAGCGAACAGCGAGGACAACTGAACGATACTGGATGACTTATGAGAGCTATTGGAGGACGCGGCAAGGCAAGGCATGGAATGATCCGTCCGGGGAAGTTTGCACAGCTGACAACGCCCTGGCCTGCGATAGAACCTAAGCGCGCGCGAAGCGCGCGCGTGGTTCTATGATTTGTATGTACATATATTGCCCGCGCAGGTGGTCGACGGCGAGGTTGTGGGGGCCGACCCAGCCTCGGACACCGCCGTGCTGCGCATCCTGCGCAGCGGCACGGAACGCTCGTCCGCCGCCCCCCTCTCTGCGGCGCGCTGCCCTGGGCTCTTCTTTTTCTTCTTTCGTTTATTATTCCTCTTCGTCGTTTTCTTTTTTGTCTTCTTATTCTTCTGCGTATGATTATTCTTCTGGCTATTGTGCTTATTCCTTTCTCCCATCTTCCCCCCTTCCTCCTCCTTCTTGTCCTCCTTCTCCTCCGCTTCCTCCTCCTCCTCCTCCTATTCTCCCTCATCCTCCTCGTCCTCGTCGTCGTCCTCCTCTTCCTCCTGTTCTTTCTCCTCCTCTTCAATCTCGCCGTCCTTCTCCTTCTCTTCCTCCTCCTCGTCCTCCTCCCACTCCTCCTCCTCCTCCTCCTCCTCCTCCTCCTCCTCCGCCTAGACCAAGGGCTTGCAGGCACGCTTACTGAACTGGGGTCAGTATGCTACTGTACACCGCACTTGATGATGGAGTCATCCTTCTCCAGCTGCATTTTGCCTGAACAAGGGCGGGGATGGCACAGCATCTTGGCCTGCTGGGGTGGAACCCTCAATCGTGGACTTGTGAGAGACTTTCTGAATCAGCGGTGGAGACATAATTTCGACTTGGTCCTTCTGGCAGGTACGCAGGCAGTAGAACAGAGGCTTCAGAGGGTTCAGAGTGTTGTGACGAAGCGGCATGTACTAGTGCAGTGTGTTCTGGACACCCCGTTTGGTCCATCTGCTCCTTTCAGCAATCCCTCGGCAAGCTGCTCGATCATATGGGGAAAAAGGGTTGCAGGAATGACATGTGATGCAAGTGTGGCCCTCACCGTCCGATTTGAAAGGTCGCTGCCTGGCAGCGCGAGTGAAGAGGGGCCGCCTTGATCTGTGCGCAGGGTGCTTGTATTTTCCGCCGAAGCCATCTCCCTTGCAGCATCGCGCTCAGTATTTTCGCACGGTCAAGCTCCTCTGTGCATGGCTTCTTGCAGTGTTGGCGTCTTTTCCTGTTCGCACCACTCCAGTGATATATTGCGACGCCAACGACGGCATTGGCGTGACGGTGGGGGGGGGGCGATCGAGACGAAGGTCGTGCAGGCCCCATCTCAGGAGCGCCTCCGCCGAGGTGCAGGTGAATCCCTTCGCGTAGTTCTTGAACCGCATGAGATGACGGCATATTATGCAGGAGGCACTCAGGTCATCCCGACCTACTACGGCATGCACGGCTCGAGGTCTCGTATTGATTATATGTTTCTGCCCGTCGACATGCAATCTCATATTGTACAGTGCAGCGTGCTACGTCGTCTCGGGGCCCGTTTACAAGCTTACGTTGGTCCGGGTCGCAGAGATCACTTACCGATTGGTTTTACTCTGCTGCGCGCTAAACGTTTGATCGGGCCCTCGGAGGCCTAAGAGCAACTTTGCTGGGACACAGATCGTATGATGAATGCTATGCTGAGGGGTCCAGGGCGAGCGGAGTTTCTTGCTCGTGTTCAACTGAAGCTCGATGCCTTGGGCACCTACGCTCACATGCGTGTTTTTCCTCCTCCTGGCGTGATCTTTGAGGCTCTGGAAACGACATTGGTTGCTGCTGGTCAGGGACAATTTGGCCGCCACCGCGCTCGAGACCCTCAGAGGCAGTCAGATTGTGAACGCGTGGGCTTCTCCTTCGTGCGCGGGCAGACTTGCGCGAACAAGAGGACTTCGGTGTCGGAGGAGGAGGCGCAGTGCATCGACGGTGAGCTGAAAAGTAGTTCTCAAGAACAGCGACTTCAGCGACGACGTGAACTACGTGCCCTTCGGGCACAGCTGGTGGCAGATGCATAAGAATTATGGGGCAAGTCTCGACAGTCGGAGGCCATGCGCTTGGCAAGGGGGGCAGCGCAGACACGTATCGGGCCCGAGAAGAGAGATGGTACGTGGGCTCGCAGCGCGCCCCCTACGGCTCGCGCCTGGTTGGAGGTCTGGAAATTTGAAATAGCGGCAGGCGGCGTGTCTGTTCTTCAGCAGGACTGGGCTGAATGGAGGGAAGCTTGCCGCAGGATGATATATTCGAGATGGCAAAGGCTGATGCAAAGAGAGTGATCAATTGGCTCCGCCACGCTGCCAGGCGTCGCGCTGTCCCCTCGTTCGCGGCCCCGCTGGAACTTTGGCGCGTGATGTTTATGCCGTGGCGGACGTTCGAACGACAACGAGGATTAGGCCTCGGATTTGAAGGTGATCAGCCTGCCACGTAAGTCTTCATTTTTAGGTCTCACTAGGTTTTCCCAATATGCGTATGCACAACATTACGCCACTATTTTGGCATCGTACAGACGGGGCTGGACTTCGTCAGCCAGATCAACCGGGCCCCTGTGGCCGCTGAGTAGTTCATGTCATGTCGGCGATCGACAGGGGTTCACGCTACATTAATGGTGCCATCGCCGATGGTGAACGACCATGGTTACTTTTGACGTCGACGTCGTGAGGACGCGGTCCTGGGAGCTCTCGTCACGTCGTGGAGGCTGCGAGCTCGTGGCTTGACACGCGCGATGACGTTGAGGGGTATGTCCAACGCTTTCGACATCCCCGACTGGGACCAGCTCGATATCACGGTGCAGCTTCAGCGCGTGATGAGGATCGAGCCCCCTGCCAGCAGAAATATCAGAACGCAGTCATTGCCTTGGAGGCACTGGAGGGCCCCCTCATAATTCGCCCTAGACAGGGGAACACGATGGGGGACCCATTCGCTGTCCGAGCTTTTTGTGGAACTTTTGCGCGTCCGATCTTGTCGTGGAGGCGCGGCGAGCAGTCGGCTGATCCTCGTGCCCCCATGCTGAGAGCACAATCGCATGAGATGAGAGCTGATTTGAATATTTTCAAGTCTGCCGATGACATCGACAGTTTTGTGCTTGCCGAACCAGAGCAGACGCTGGCTGATTTCTCGACCAAGATGTCGGATGTTGATGCGAGGCGTGGCCAGTGCCTTGCAGAGTTTGGGTATGGCCAGAATCCTTCACAGCAAGAGTTTTTGATGTTCTTCGCGGAGCGCAGCTACCTATGCCGCCAGATCCTCCGCCGTGACCCCACTCTTCTCCAGGGCTCCGTCAGGGATCATGTGAGGTACCTTGGTCCCTACTTGGGCGCGGGTGTCTCGGCTCGACCGGAGATTTCCGGGAGGTGTAACACGGCGAGGTCTGGGTTCTTCTCCTTGGGTAGGGCGTGTAAGCTGGGGATCCCAAAGAGTTGGAAGCGAAGTCTTCTCATCGGGTTCGTCCAGAATGCGTAGCTCAGCGGGCTTGCGAGTGTCGTGGTTGCAGAGGCGGATACGGGCATCTGGGATCTTTGTCTTGCGGGTCTTGGGCGCGTCACAATGTTGGGAAAGCCAGCGTCTTTGGAAGGGCCCCGCGTGACCACGATCACGAATGAGAAGGTCTTGGAACACTGGAAGATTACCCCTTGATCGCTGGAGCTTCTAATTCGGAGAGTGAAGCTGTGCCAGGCATGGAGCGCTCACCCGCGTGAGCATCAACAAGTATGGTGCGCACTATTCGTCGCCTCCCCAATTGAGGGAATCGTCTCCACGCTGCTCTGGCGCGGGAGACCGACCGAGCATGCCTCGCCATGGGCAAAAGGTGGCCGTTGATTTTGACAAAGTAGCGCGCTTGTTGCCATGCGAAGTGATTCGAATGATTGCTGATGGTCTCAATTTGCTACAGGACCCCGACATCTCAGAGGATTGTCAGAAGGTAGACAACGTATCGCAAGATGCACCGATAATTCACATGTGGTGCGGCGACGAGGCGGCGACGAGGCGGCGACGGTGACAGGGTAGCTCGACCGCCACACTTGCCCAAACGACGGGCGGCGATGGGCCAGCGACGGGGACAACGTAGCCGCCAGACCGCCACACCAGCCCAGACGACGGGCGGCGACGAGGCGGCGACGGGGTGGCGACGGCGACGGCATAGCCGCCAGACCACACCAGCCCAGTTCCACAGAACAGGAGTAAGGGCCCCTATGTGCAAGGACTGTTAGGGCAAAAACTGCAAACAAACATTCCGTCGTGACTTCTTCATGACCCGAAGGGGGTCTGGTCGGCGACTCCGAAGGGCGTGGTTTGCAAAGGGTGTGCTTTGCCACCCGCACCCAGGGGGGCGGGCGAGGACTTCGACAGAGCTCTCGGCCGCGCCCTGGGTAGGCCCGACGAAAGCAACGTGCCCCCCCCCCCCCGCCACCCCCCAAGCCCCAACGACGCAGATCGGAAGCCTCCTCCTCTTCCTCCTCCTTCTCCTCTTCCTCCTCCTCCTCCTCCTCCTCCTCCTCCTCCTCCCCTCCTCTTCCTCCTCCTCCTCCTCCTCCTCCTCCTCCTCCTCCTCCTCCTAGCGCGCCCCTCCCAAGCCGCGGCAAGGGCGGCGATTCTTGTTGGCGGCGCGCACCAGGGGGTATGGGGGAGGGGGGGAGGCTTCTTAGAAGGAGGCTGCCTCTTAGCAGGCGCCGGCTCTGCTTCTACAGAGATCAGGCCCGCGCCTTCTGAGAAGCAGGGTGCTTCCAAGAACCCTTCCCCCCTACCCCTACCCCCTCTCCGCGTGTTCGACCTTAACACCGACTCCGCGATCTTCCCATAGCTCGGACTCCCAGAGGTCTGGACCCCCCCCCTTCCAAAGACTGGTTTCTCAGACCGAATCCGCATCTTGACGGCCCCGCGACCTGGTGAAAGCCCCCGAGGCCGAGAACGGCCAGAAACAGCCCGTCGTGAACTTCCCACGCAACGGTCCTCGGGACACAGCTCGCGACTCCAGCAGCAGTTCGGGAGGATCCGGGCACCCCCAAAACGCTCTCGGCAAGGCGCAGCTCCTGGAGAGCATCCGAAGGCCGGAAAACTTAATTTTGGAACCGGCGAGACCTTCCGAAAACCATCCCTTGACTTCGAACTCGCCGTGCTTTCGGCGACTTCGCAAGTATGGCGGAGATTCGCCGTGCTCTGCGCGTGGCCGACCTTGGAAGTCGCCGATTTGTCGGCGGCGAGCCGGGGGGAAGTGAGGAGGGGCGGGCCTTCGCAAAGGCTCGGAAGGCCCCCGGCCTCCTGAGAAATTCGCTCGGCCTTCCCCGAAGACGCAACAAGCCTCTCGGAAGGCGCGAGGGGCTTCTGAGACGTCCACCTGCCCCCCCCTTTCCCCTCGTCGTTCTCCTCCTCCTCCTCCTCCTCTTCCCTTCTCCTCCTCCTCCTCCTCCTCCTCTTCCCTCCTCCTCCTCCTCCTCCTCCTCTTCCTCCTCCTCCTCCCTCCTCCTCCTCCTCCTCCTCCTCCTCCTCCTCCTCCTCCTCCTCCTCCTCCTCCACCTCCCCTCCTCCTCCTCCTCCTCCTCCTCCTCCACCTCCTCCTCCACCTCCTCCTCCTCCTCCTCCTCCTCCTCCTTTCCTCCTTCTGAGAAGGCCTTCTCCTTTTCCCTTTCCCCCAAAGCACCACTGGGCCGATCTTGGGCCCACTACTGGCCCGGGCAGGGCCACTGCAGGCGCACCGCGTGCGGCCCCTCCGGCCCTGCCGCGGGCGGAGGAGGAGGAGGAGGCGGAGGAGGAGGAGGAGGAGGAAGAGCGAGGAGGAGGAGGAGGAGGAGGAGGAGGAGGAGGAGGAGGAGGAGGAGGAGGAAGAGGAGGAGGAGGAGGAGGAGGAGGAGGAGGAGGAGGATGAGGAGGAGGAGGACAGGAGCAGGAGCAGGAGGAGGAGGAGGAGGAGGAGGAGGAGGAGGAGGAGGAGAGGAGGAGGAGCAGGAGCAGGAGCAGGAGGAGGAGGAGGAGGAGGAGGAGGAGCAGGAGCAGGAGGAGGAGAACCCTGGTCCTGTCCTGCTGCGCCGCCACTTCGCGCCCCTCGGCCCCCAAGCAGCCCGAGGAGCCCCGCATGCAGAAACTGCCCCGGAGCACGTCTGCCCGGCTCGAGGCGGCGCCCACCCGGCGGGCGGGCGCCTTTTTTGTTTCGTCCTCGTCCTCCACATCCCCCTCGTCGACCTCTCCCGCCTCCTCCCTTTCCTCCTCTCTCCCTCTTTTCCCCTTTCATTTCCTTCCCTTCCCCCTCCTCCTCCTCCTCCTCCTCCTCCTCCTCTTTCTCCTCCTCCTCCTCCTCATCCTCCTCCTCCTCCGTCTCCTCTCCGCCTCTCCTCTCCTCCTCCTCCTCCTCCTCCTCCTCCTCCCTCCTCCTCCTCCTCGTCCTCCTCCTCCTCCTCCTCCTCCCCCCTCCTCCCTCTCTCGGCAACCGCCGCGCTTCGAGGGTGCCCCCCCCGGCCTCTCGCAGACGGCGCCCGACGTGGGGAGGCCGACCCCCGCCGGAGGCCCATCCTACGCGCACCACGAGACGCAGGGTGCCGTGCGGCACACCAACAAGATGTTGCACCACCTCCTCTTGTTTTCCGCTCCTCTGCTTTCCCCGCGGCGGGAAAAGAGCCACGTTTTGTTGGGAGAGTGTTCTCCTAAGCAGTGGCGGAAAATCGCCCGCGCACCGAGTCCGTGAGATTTGTTTGTGCCCCTGTAGTCCTGGCTGGATTTGTCCGCCGGTGGCGTTGTAAGCAGCTGACGGCGAGTGGCTTCTGGCTGGTGCTTCGCGTGTTCCCTGACCTCCCCCCCCCGCCAACAAAAACAAACATCAACAAGATGTTGCACCACCTGGCACGGACAAGAAATCGCATCGCTGTTCTATAAGCTTCAGATGTTCCAGCCTATTTTGGCCCTGCTCACCATAGAGAGTTTCGAGCACCAGAAAGCAGACCGGAACTCGAGGGTTTTCGCATGTCGGGCCCTGGGGGACACTCGTCCGACACTGTTTCGACACTGTTTCGACACTCTTTCGACACTTTTCCAGGTGCTCGAAATTATTTTTGCGATGTGGTCCTGAAGTACGATGGGAGCAACATAACTATAAGCGTTTGTTTCCCCCCCCTCCCCCGATCTTGATATTGTCTTCGGTCCGTGCTGGTCGAAGCAGCTCGGGAGCCCCTGGGCGGCCCAAGGGCTTCATGCCATGCACCCAACATCAAGATCGGGGGGAAGGGGGGGGAACGAGCAGTGCAGTATAGGCGCCAATGCGCAGCAAAAGCGGTACAACACCTTGTCGATGCACGGTGCCTCCTCTCGCCGCCATTTTGAGCTTTCGGACATCTTCCTCGCCATGAGGGAAGCGGGTCCTGAGGGAAGTGGGCCCAGGCCCCACCATGACAGAAGGTTTGCCGCCGTCTTCGTCCGCTGGGGCCCTCGCCGGGCCTCGGGGCCGTCAAGATGCGATGCTTGGTGGTCTCTCAACCCAGGTGGTGAGACACCCGGTGGTGACCCCGATTCCCCAAAGAAGTAATTCTGGGTCGCCACCAGGTCTGGGGAAGCGCGGCCGCCACGAGGTCTTGCGCTTCCTGGGCCAGCCAGCGCTCGAAAACCGTTACCCACATCGCCCAAAATTCACCACCGGGTGTTCTCACCACCACGTTTGGGGACCGCCACGAGATGCGATGCAGGGCGAGCAGACCGTCCCAGGGACGGCCTCTGGGGGTCGACGTGGAGGCAGAGGTCCGACGTCGGGAAGCGGGTCCCGAGGCGTCTCGCCGTCCTCGAGCTCTTCGGGCCCTCCACGGGCCCTGGGGCCCGTGGGAGAAAGCGACTCGGCACGACGATCTCCTGGGGGAGGGCTCCAGGGTCCAGGACCCGTTGCCCTCAGGACCCTATTCCCCCCTCCTCCTCCTCCTCCTCCTCCTCCTCCTCCTCCTCCTCCTCCTCCTCCCTCCTCCCCTCCTCCTCCTCCTCCTCCTCCTCCTCCTCCTCCTCCTCCTCCTCCTCGCGGGGCGGTGACCACAACGTGACCACAACGTGCAGGCAAAATGTCGGCGGGGATGGGGGGTCCGTGAGGCTGCCGAGTAGTCTTTGCATCGGGGATGGAATGCAGCCCCTGATCTGTGGTCCTCGTGTCGAGACGCCGCTTCCTTTTGGGCGAAGATGGACCGCGGTGGTCTGGGACTCTCTGCGACGGGTGTCGCGAGAGAGTTTAGAGACTGCGCCGTGTTTGCGGTACGAAGGGTGGCTGATTATCCTGCGTCTGCGAAAAGAGGAAGTGTCTCGCTGCGCACGGTGCTTGCCACTGGCCCTCGTTTTCCTGCCCCCCCCCTTTTCGTCCAGGGCCTCTTCGCTGAGCGCCGCCCCGCGACGCGAACTCACGCCGCGTTGATCAGCTTTCTGCTCCGGCACACTGCGGGGGAAGGCGGAAGGACCTTCCTGGGGTCGGCGTCACCCCGCCATACGCATACCATATGTACGTCGCCCCCAGGGGCGACGCGCGCACCGAGAAGCCTGGCGGGCGCTTCTGGCCGCACCGCTCGGGAAACGAGATACTATAAGGTGGTTCTACTACGGTGGAGGCGTTTGTTGAGGAATAGTCCCAGGAGGCGCCAGACCCTGGAGGATTCCTTATCCAATGAGGGCGGTGGTGATGTCCATGGCCGATCCACGATTGGAGTTCCACTGGCTTCCAGACCCCAGATTTCTTATCTAAGGGTTCCTTATCCAATGCCCCCACCGTTTATGTTCGGGTCGGACGCACACCTCCTCCTCCTCCTTCTCCTCCTCCGAGGAGGACGCGCAGTATTGGTGTGTCCTTGTGCGTCCCAGGGGGGACCCGGTCGTGCACGGCTCGAAGCTGGAGCCGTGGGCCTGGCACAGAGCGGCCGGCGGCGAGAGGTGCCGTCGTGCGTTCATGGTGCCTTGCTGCTGCGTGCCACCGTGCACAACTGATGATGATGACGATGATGACGATGATGATGATGATGATGATGATGATGATGATGATGATGATGACGATGCTGATGATGCTGATGATGATGACGATGATGACGATGATGACGATGACGATGACGATGATGATGATGATGACGGAGGCTGATGATGATGATGATGATGAGGATGAGCATGATGATGATGATGATGATTCTGATGATGATGATGATGATGACGATGACGATGACGACGATGATGATGATGATGACGATGATGATGACGATGACGATGAGGATGATGATGATGATGATGACGATGATGATGACGATGATGATGACGACGATGACGATGACGATGACGATGACGATGATGATGATGATGATGATTATGATGATGATGATGATGATGATGATGATGATGATGATGATGATGATGATGATGATGATGATTGATGATGATGATGATGATGATGATGATGATGATGATGATGATGATGATGATGATGATGATGATGATGATGATGATGATGATGATGATGATGATGATGTGATGATGATGATGATGATGATGATGATGATGATGATGATGATTGATGATGATGATGATGATGATGATGATGATGATGATGATGATGATGATGATGATGATGATGATGTGATGATGATGATGATGATGATGATGATGATGATGATGATGATGATGATGATGATGATGATGATGATGATGATGATGATGATGATGATGATGATGATGATGAGGAGGAGGAGGAGGAGGAGGAGGAGGAGGAGGAGGAGGAGGAGGAGGAGGACGGGGGTGGCGCGAGTTATTTGCACGTGCGACCATTATTGGTGTGACACCAAGCTGCACAACTGCATCCACGCGCAGCTGCTGCATCCAGCGCGCGTAAGTTCTTGCATTCAGGCACCAGCTCCTGCAAGTATTATTCATAGGCTTACGCCGCACCGCCGACCCCTTGGGGCGGCAGCAAGAGTGAAAGACGGAGTTCGCGGAACGCGCGCGATCGCCGGGCAATCTTGGGGTTGCGGCCTGTCTTGCGTAGCGTGTGGGGTTCAAGGGGGATCCTTGAAGGGGATTGTTTTGAAGTTGTTCGTGGTCTTATGTGGGTTTCTTGGGGCCTTTACGGGGCCTGTCCCAGGTCCCCTTTGCCACCCCCTGGATAGGCTCGGGGATCGTTGAGAACCAGCTGGGGGTGCGTCTGGCCAGAAGTTCGAGAGTGGACCCAGCTGTGTCGACGAAGAGCTTCCTGAAGGCCCAGAGGGGGCGGAGAGCGCCCAAGAACTAGGAGTCTCATGCCTCGAGCCTCGATCTACCCCATGTTCCTTTGCCGCGGCGGGATGCATTTGGGAAAACGATTGCGACTGGATGCCGGGAAGGGTCCGGGGGGCCCACGGTGCACGAGTTCTGCGCGGGGAGGAGAAGAATTCTGTGGCAGAGTCTCAGTCTTGTCAGTTTGTTCGTGCTTCTCGTCGTCGGAGGGCCGCCTCCTGGGCCCCAGGGGCATTCAGGGGCCTCATGGATCCCCGACAGGGCCTCTTAGTTGCATTTAGGCGCCCTTTCATGTCTTCTCGGGGCGAAGTGTTCGAATTCTCCATTCCTCGGGGGAAAGGTCGGCCGAGCTGGCGTGCTTGGGCTTCCCAGCCGCTGGCGAAGCTGTCGTTTTCGACGTGGAGTGGGGAAATGCGTTCAAGGTGGAAGCCGGTTCCCACGTCGCCCTTTTCACCCTCCTCTTGGGGCCGTCTTGGGGCTCTCCCTGGTGGCTTCGGGGGTCCAGTTGGGGCCCAGTTGTGCCGCCTGGGAACCTTCTTGGGGGCATGCGGGGGCTTGTGGGTTGATTTTTTTTTTTTTTTTCAGGCTACTGTGGGACTAAAAGCTCAAGAAACGAACGTGTTGAACTTAGACGTTTCCCTTCGGGACGGGGCCGAGTTTTGGTTCAGCCGGGTATCTTGGGACGCGTCCTGGCGGCGCGTGCGGGCGTCTAGGGGGCCTCAGGGGTCAATTGGAGGCAATGGCGGGCGTTTGGGAACGATCTTCTCACGAGTCGTAACTCGCGCTCTGGAGCCGTCGGGGGAGCCTTGCGGGACCCATTGTGGGATTTTTTTTGGGGCCGTCCTGGGGCCATCCTGGGTCGGTTTGGTGGCTTCTGGGGCCTCTTGGCGCCCATTTGGGCTGTCTTGGAATTCTTTTGGCAGCCTTTTTTGGGTCGTTGGGTCGATCTGGAAGGCTTCTTGGGCTGTTGTGGGCCTCGTGAAAGCCGACGAGGCGAACGTGCTGGAAGTGTATGTTGTCCGTAGAAAGTCAAACGCTCTTTGCTTTTGCAAAGCCTCTTGGGACGTCTCCGGGTGGTTTCTTGGGGCGTCTTGTGGGCCTGAAGGACTGCCGGGAGGCAATCTGGAGCGTCTTAGAGCGATCTCTCGACGACTCGTAGCCCTCGCGGGCCGTCCAGGAGTCTTTTGGGGATGGGGACCCTCTTGGCCCATGGCCGTCCTGCGGCTCTTCTGGGCTGTTGCAGTTGTTTTGGGGGCCTTCGCGGGGCTCTCGCTGGCCGTCTTGGAGCCTTCTTGGGGGCCTCTTGGGTTATCTGGGGTCGCTCTCGGAGGCTTCTTGGGCCGTTGGGGGCTTCGTGAAAGGCCAAGAGGCGAGCGTGTTTGAAGGAGATGTGGGACGATTTTTGTTTCTGGAGGGCGTTTTGGTGGCTTCTTGGGGCGTCTTGGGGGCTTCTCGGGCCGTCTGGAGGCAATCCTCGTCTTTGTTGACCGATCCCTCGCCGACTCGTAGCTCTCTTGGACCGTTCCGGGGGCCTTTTGGACCTTTTTGGCTCGTTTTGGGGCCCCTTAAAGTTCCAACTGTGCGGCCGGCGCCTTCACCCCCCACCCACCCACCCTCCACACTGGCCGACCGGGCTCCCGGGGGAGGCGTTTGGGGAGGAGGGCGTATTTCACACGCCGAAGCCCCAGGGGGTCGGCGGACCTCGGGGCCCGAGTCCAAGCGCAACTGCCTGGTGTGAACAACATTGTAACGCTTCGAGCTCAGGGGAGGAGCAGGAGGAGGACGAGGGCATGGACGCAAACGTATCCGCAGCTTCAAGGTTGCGAGGAGGAGGAGGAGGAGGAGGAGGAGGAAGAGGAGGAGGAGGAGGAGGAGGAGGTGGAGGTGGTGGAGGAGGAGGAGGAGGAGGAGGAATAATAATAATAATAATAATAATAATAATAATATTATTAATAATAATAAGAGTGATAATAATAATAATAAGAGTGATAAGAATAATACTAATAATAATAATAAGAAGAAACAACATAATAATAATACTACCATTAATAATAATATGCATAATACGAAGAATACTAGGAGTAAGAATAATAATAAGAATAATGATAATAATAAGAATAATAAGAATAAGAATACTACTAGTAACACTAACAAGAACACTAATAATAAGACGAACACTAAATAAGACGAATAATAGTAATAAGAATACACATAAGAATAATACTAAGAATAATACTAATAATAATAAGAATAATACTACGAATAATAATACGAATAACAATAATAACAATGATAACAATAATAACAATACTAATACTACTACTAATCATAACAATACTACTAATAATAATATTAACACTAATACTTATAATATAATAATACTACTACTAATAATAATAATATTAATAATAATAATATTAATATTAATAATACTAATAATACTAATAATAATGATAATGATAATAATGATAATACTAAAACTAATAATATCAATATAATAATAATAATACTAATAATAATAATAATAATACCAACAATAATATTAATAACAATAATAATAATAATCATAATCATAATCATAAGAGGAGGAGGAGGAGGAGGAGGATGAGGAGGAGGAGGAGGAGGGGAGGAGGAGGAGGAGGAGGAGGAGGAGGAGGAGGAGGAGGAGGAGGAGGAGAGGAGGAGGAGGAGGAGGAGGAGGAGGAGGAGGAGGAGGAGGAGGAGTTATGCTTATACCTCAGGGGATGGTCTGTGCATGGGCGTGCAGGGGGCCTCTGGTGCCGTCCAGAGGCAATGTCGGGTCTTTGGAGCGATCTCTTCACGAGTCGTAGCCCTCTGGGGCCGTCGGGGAAGCCCTTTGTGGCCGTCCTGGGGCCCTCCTCGGTTGCTGCGGGGGCCCTCTTGGGGACCTTTTGGGCCGTCTGGGAGCTTTCTTGGAGGCATACGGGGTTTCCTTGTATTGACTTGGGGGCTTCTTGGGTCTGTGGACAACGTGGAAGGCCAAGAAGCGAAAGTGCCAAACTTGGACGTTTCCCTTAGGGAACACGGGCCGATGCATGCTTCCGGAGGGCCTCTTGGGCCGCGTCCTGGTGGCGCGTTGGGGCGCGCAGGGAGTCTCAGGGGCCGCGTGACAGGCCAAGAGGCGATCGTGTTGGAAATATGTGCTTTCCATCGAGAATAGGACGGTTGTTGCTTCTGGAAGGCTTCTTGGGACGCCTCTGGGTAACGTCTTGAGGCGTCTTGGGGGCCTGTAGAGCTGTCGGGAGGCCATGTTGGACGGCTTGGTGCACTGCTGAACGACTCGGGTCGACCAGGAGGCCTTTTGAGAACCCTCTTTGCCCGTATTGGGGCCCTCTTGGGACCGTCCTGTGGCTCTCCAGGGCCGGTGCTCTGGTTTCTGAGGCCTTCGTGGGGCGCTGGAGGCGAATGTGCTGAATCTATCTTTTTTCTTTAGGGAATGGGACGATTTTTGCTTGTGGAGGCCTTCGTGGAACGCCTCGTAGTAGTTTTTCAAACGTCTCGGGGGCCTATGGGGGATCGTCTGCAGGCAAGCTGGGGCGGTTTGGACCGAATCGTCCCCCTCGTGGGCCGTCCAGAAAGCCTTTGGGGACCCTCTTGGCCCGTTGTGGGGCTCTCGTGGGACCGCCCTGTCCTCGGCCGTTGCTGTCATTTCTGCTGTCCTCGGCCGGTGCGCCCGGAAGCCGTCGCGGAGCCTTTTTGAGAGCCTCTTGGGGTGTCTGGGGTCGAACTTGGAGGTTTACTGGGCCGCTGTAGGCATCGTAGAAGACCAAGAAGCGAATGTACTGAAAATGTATGTTTTCCCTGGGGAATGAGGCGATTTTTGCTTCTGGAGGCCCTCTTGTACCGCCTCGTGGACGCGCCTTCAAACGTCCTGGGGGCCTATGGGGGATCGTCTGGAGGCAATCTTGGGCGGTTTGGACCGAATCGTCCCCCGCGTGGGCCGTCTGAGGGGCCTTTGGGGACCCTCTTGGCCCGTTTTGGAGCCCTGTTGGGACCGTCCTGCGGCTCTCCCAGGCCGTTGCTATGGTTTCTGGAGCCTTCGTGGATCGCCTCCGTCGTGGAGCCTTTTTGGGAGCTTCTTGGGCTGCGGAGGGTCGATCTTGGAGGCTTTTTGGGCTGTTGTGGGCCGTGTGGAAGCCCAAGAGGCGAATGTGCTGAACATGTACCTTTTCCCATCGGGAATGGGACGATTTTTGCTTCTGGAGGGCCTTCGTGGGGCGCCTCGTAGCACTTCTTTAAAGTCTCGGGGACTGATGGGGCCGTCTGGAGGCAATCCTCGGCGTTTTGGAACGATCCTTCGTTGGCCAGGTTTGGGGCCTCTTGAGGCTCCAAGTGAGGGGTTTGGGGAGGGGGAAGCATCTGACACGCCGTGACCCCAAGGGGTCGGCGGATTTGCAAGGGCGGCAACTGTTGGTGTGGCAAGAAGCGACGCAAACTGCATCCACGCGCAGCTGCTGCATCCAGCGCGCAAGTTCTTGCATCCAGGCACCAGCTACTGTAAACAATTCGTCTGGCGCCTCTCCACGCGGTCCATCTGCGTCAGGCCTACCACTCCCTCGCCTGCACCCGCGCACGCCCCTTCTCCCCCACCCCTCGCTCCGAGCAGCCTCCTCCCAGCGCCGCCTCCAACCGCCCGGAGGTGGGCCAGACCGTCTACGCCATAGGGAACCCTTTCGGTCCCCGCGCGCCTCCTCCTCCTCTTCCTTCTCCTCCTCCTCCTCCTCCTCCTTTTCCTTCTCCTCTTCCTCCTCCTCCTCCTCCTCCCCATCCTCCTCCTCCCTCCTCCGCCTCCTCCTCCTTCTCCTCCTCCTATGGGGACCGCAAGTAAGTTGTGTCTACGCGTAATGACTGCCAGGGATTTTCATACCGCGCACGCTTACTATGTTGTATGGGAACAAATTCCAGGTAGGGTTGTCCAGGGGGGTTGTTTGGGAGGGTCTG